TTCTGTGGATGATTAAGTATCTTGAGAGTGTTATGCTGAGATGTGTAAAATATTACTCCATTACTAAAATGTCTACATATATGCTGCTTATACACCTTGTTGGATTCTTTCATCTTGTACAAGCATCAACATATATTTTATAAAATCTTTGTGTAGAAAATAATCCTACTGACTTTACTATTTGCATGGTAATCAATGTTGTCTCTATGAGATAGACTTCTTAAGGTACATGACACACAGCTTGTGATTTTAATGCTACACTGCATAAGATACATAATACACTGCTTGAGATACAAGATACACAGCTTGTGATAAATGACACACTGCTTGTGATTAATGGTACACTGCTGAAGATACATAATACACTGTTTGAGATACAAGATACACAGCTTGTGATAAATGGTACACTGCTTGTGATATATGATACACAGCTTGTGATATATGATACACATCTTGTGATATATATCACACTGCTTAAAATACATGATGCATGGCTTAAGATACATGACACACTATTTGTGATTAATGGTACACTGCTTAAGATACATAATACACTGAGATACAAGATACACTGCTTGTAATAAATGGCACACTGCTTGTGATATATGATACACCACAGCATGTAATATATATATATCACACTGCTTAAGATACATGATAGACTGCATGAGATAAATTTGTTAAATGTAATACATCATGTTTTAATAAAGACCCATGTCTTTCTAAGAATGTCATTATGTTTTGATGTTTGTCTTTTGACAGATTTTGTTTTTGTTTTGTCTTCTAATCATGCTAGTGTGATGCATAATTATAATAACGTCAAAAAATTGTTTTAAATATTTATTCAACATGCTTCTTGTGTGTAATGGATGACTAGTCTTTTACTTTGTACTGCCATGTTCACCTGCAGGGCAAAGACCCAGATCTGTTGTAAAATGTGTAAGGATGTGGAATACACACCATTAGAGTACACAGCATGTGGAGTACACAGCACTGAAATGTAGCCTGAATACTCATAAATAATTAGTCAAAACTTTTGTTCACTTGTCTAAGGGAGATAACTCTCATGTTAGGTCAATAAGAATAGCATTAAACAGTGGCAAAATGCATCCTGTGTAAGAAAAAAGTCTATTGATTAGGGGGTCAGAGGTCAAGATCACAGATTGGAAAATGAAAAAGTGTATAGCTTCACTAAAATTTGTGAATGGTTAGTTCTTTGGGTAGAAAGAAGCCTTTGATTTGAGGATCCAAGATGAAGGTCATGGTGACTGAAATTGTGGCTCATTAGGTTTAATGTTCAATGAAAATGGGGTTTGCACAATAATGTTTGTTTTTGAACAAGTACTTTCACAAAACACCATGGATGGCTCACACATAAGAAAAAAAAGAAACTTATTGATGTTGACAGCACATATCAGAGGTCAGTATCAAGGTAATTCTGATAAGCACTCTCCACCAAATGTTTTAGTAAAATACTGTATTCCAAAGGTCAAGGTCATTAAGATCCCTTACTCACCAGAGGTCACCATCCCCTACAATGACTCTGTGCAAGACTCTTAAACACATGGTGGGTATATGAAATACCCTTCACAGTATTTTTTAAAATTTGTTTTTCTGGTGTCAAGATAAACATTATAATAAATAAGGAAATATAAATTTTGCAATCTTTTTAAGGTAATTGAAACATTTTAATAAATGGTTGTTATGCTTACAATGTGAAGTTTAAGCTAACTTGGCCATAAGGCCATGAGAGCTTATGGCATGTCCAGGCTTCTGTCCACATTTGCTATTTTTGACTTCTCTAAAATAACCTGGGGCAGTTTGGATTCACATTGGTGTGAATGTTCTTGAGGTCATGTTATACCAAATTCAATTCAGCATGCCTACTGTATGAAAAAAAATTCATTAGGACATGTTATACCAAATTCAATTCAGTATGCCTCTTGTATGAAAATATACATTGGGACATGTTATACCAAATTCAATTCAGTATGCCTTTTGTATGAAATTATTCATTAGGGCATGTTATACCAAATTCAATTCAGTATGCCTCTTGTATGAAAATATACATTAGGACATGTTATACCAAGTTCTGTATAGTATGCCTCTTGTATGAAAAAATTCATTAGGACATGTTATACCAAATTCTAATCAGTATGCCTCTTGTATGAAAATATTCATTAGGACATATTATACCAAATTCTAATCAGTATGCCTGTTGTATGAAAATATTCATTAAGACATGTTATACCAAATTTTAATCAGTTTGCCTCTTGTATGAAAATATTCATTCGGACATGTTATACTAAATTCAATTCAGTATGCCTATTGTATGAAAATAAACATTAGGACATGTTATACCAAGTTCTGTACAGTATGCCTATTGTATGAAAAAATTCATTAGGACATGTTATACCAAATTCTAATCAGTATGCCTCTTGTATGAAAATATTCATTAGGACATGTTATACCAAATTCAATTCAGTATGCCTATTGTATGAAAATATACATTAGGACATGTTATACCAAGTTCTGTACAGTATGCCTATTGTATGAAAAAATTCATTAGGACATGTTATACCAAATTCTAATCAGTATGCCTCTTGTATGAAAATGCTCATTAGGACATGTTATACCAAGTTCTGTACAGTATGCCTATTGTATGAAAAAATTCATTAGGACATGTTATACCAAATTCTAATCAGTATGCCTCTTGTATGAAAATATTCATTATGACATGTTATACCAAATTCAATTCAGTATGCCTATTGTATGAAAATATACATTAGGACATGTTATACCAAGTTCTATACAGTATGCCTATTGTATGAAAAAATTCATTAGGACATGTTACATAAATTCTAATCAGTATGCCTCTTGTATGAAAATATTCATTAGGACATGGTATACCAAGTTCTATACTGTATGCCTCTTGTATGTAAATATTCATTAGGACATGTTATACCAAATTCTAATCAGTATGCCTCTTGTATGAAAATACTCATTAGGACATGGTATACCAAGTTCTATACTGTATGCCTCTTGTATGTAAATATTCATTAGGACATGTTATACCAAATTCAATTCAGTATGCCTATTGTATGAAAATATACATTAGGACATGTTATACCAAGTTCTGTACAGTATGCCTATTGTATGAAAAAATTCATTAGGACATGTTATACTAAATTCTAATCAGTATGCCTCTTGTATGAAAATATTCATTAGGACATGTTATACCAAATTCAATTCAGTATGCCTCTTGTAGGAAAATATTAATCAGGATATCCTCTAAAAAAAGGTTGTCTGTGATGGCTTTCCTTAGCCTCCAGGTCTCTAAGTGGAAAACACATTTTGGACTTCTTCTGTAGAAAAGCTGTGCCAGTGATTCAAATTTGGCAGAAATATTCTTCTTGACATTAGTTTTAAGTGAAAACATATTTGCTAATTTCTGCAAAACAGATTGACCTATTTTGTTCTTGAAAGGCAATCTCTTCTACACAGGTGTTGAATGGATACCCTAGTGGCTGACCTCTTTCATTCAAACATTGTTGGGATGTTCTTTTGAGCATGCTGTACTAATTAGTCTGTGATAGTAGCAAAATGCCTTTCTTCCCAAAGCATCCCATTAGAAAACATATTTGTGACTTTTCTCCATAGTAACTGGGACAGATACAATTAAAAACTGGTCCATTAATATGTAAATGAAAAAGACCTCTTTTTGCAAACACCTCAGCCAATTTTAATAAATGTGCTGGAAATGTTTCTTCTCTGCTGGAATTGTGTTTGGAATGACTACTACCAACAGTGTGGTTTTTCATCCTGGTTAGATTGACTTTTACAGAATGGTTGAGTCAATTTTGGTTGAATTAGGTAGGAATATTTTCCTATTTTCATTCTTTCTGACTTGTGTTGGATTAGGCCTTGTGTAGCAATGGCATAGCTTTCAACACAACTGTATATAAAGCCTGCATATCGCTTCCCTTGTATGTAGCAATGGCATAGCTTTCAACACAACTGTATATAAAGCCTGCATATCACTTCCCTTGTATGTAGCAATTGCATAGCTTTCAACACAACTGTATATCAAGCTTGCATACAGCTTCCCTTGTATGTCAACACATACACACAAACAAACACACACACACACACATATATATATATATATATATATATATATATATATATATATATATATATATATATATATATATATATATATCTATATATGTGTGTGTGTGTGTGTATGCATGGATGTATGTGTGTGTGTGTATGCATGCATTCATGTATGTATGTAAGTCCTAGCATATGTATGTATATACAACAGTCCTAGCATGAACACCTCTCCCCTTCATGCTGAGTCCTAGCATGAATGTCATTCCCATTCATACAAGAGTCCTAGCATGAATGGCATTCCCATTCATACAAGAATTTTAGCATGAACAAATTTCTCATTCATAGAAGAGTCCTAGAATGAACACCTTTCCCATTCATACAAGAGTCCTAGCATGAATGGCATTCCTATTCATACAAGAGTCCTAGCATGAACACATTTCTCATTCACACAAGATTCCTAGCATGAATGGCATTCCCATTCATACAAGAGTCCTAGCATGAACACATTTCTCATTCATACAAGAGTCCTTGCATGAATTGCATTCCCATTCATACAAGAGTCCTAGAACGAACACCTTTACTATTTACACAGCATCTTAGCTTGAACACCATTCTCATTCTTAAAAGAGTCCTAGAATGAGTCTGTGTGTGATTTAGATTTTTAACATAGCTTTAACAATTTTTCAGTCATATCGCTATGATGTCTGTAGTGAGACAGTTTATAGTGATGTCTAGCACTTGGGCATCATGCCGCAGACATGTGGCATGATGTCCCACCCTGTCACACTATCCTCACACCAGGCCAACCAGTTCTAACACTAACCTCCTAATGCTGAGCACCAAGTGAGGCATCTGTTAGTACCATTTTTTTAAAGTCTTTGGTATGACTCAGTCTGGGTTCTAACCCGTAACCTCCCGCATCAGATGCTGACGCTCTAACCACTAGGCTACTGGAGTGGTCAGTCCTAGAATGAACACCTTTCCCATTCACACAGGAGTCCGAGAATGAATGCCAATCCCATTTATACAAGAGTCCTAGCATAAATATCATTCTCATTTGACCTTTCTCATTTGTACAAGAGTCCTAGGATGGACACCTTTCTCTTTATAAAAAGAGTCCTAGCACGAACACCTTCTTTCTCATACAAGAGTGCTAGCTTGAATGGCATTCCCATTCATACAAGAGTCATAGAATAAACTCCTTTCTCATTTGCAGGAGTCCTATCATTAATACCTTTCTCATTCATACATGAGTCCTAGCATGCATGGCATTCCCATTCATACAAAAGTCCTAGCAGAAACACCTGTATCATTTGAACAAGAGTTCTAACATAGACACCTTTCTCTTTACATAAAGAGTCTTAGCATGAACACCTTTCTCATTCATACAAGAGTTCTATCATGAATATCATTCTCATTCATACAAGAGTCCTAGCATGAACACCTTTCTATTTATAGAAAGAGTCCTATCATAAACACCTTTCTTATTCCTACAAGAGTTCTATCATGAATATCATTCTCATTCATACAAGAGTCCTAGCATGAACACCTTTCTCTTTATAGAAAGAGTCCTATCATAAACACCTTTCTTATTCCTACAAGAGTTCTATCATGAATATCATTCTCATTCATACAAGAGTCCTAGCATGAACACCTTTCTCTTTATAGAAAGAGTCCTATCATAAACACCTTTCTCATTCATACAAGAGTTCTATCATGAATATCATTCTCATTCATACAAGAGTCCTAGCATGAACACCTTTCTCTTTATAGAAAGAGTCCTATCATAAACACCTTTCTTATTCCTACAAGAGTTCTATCATGAATATCATTCTCATTCATACAAGAGTCCTAGCATGAACACCTTTCTCTTTATAGAAAGAGTCCTATCATAAACACCTTTCTTATTCCTACAAGAATCCAAGCAACTGGAAATAATCATGACTGAGAATATTTCAACCCTAGGTACCTGCCTTTTAACTACTATATTTGACATTTAGACCTATGCATGTAAGGTAAGCAATATAAGACCCTCTTGGATCTCTTCTTTTTTTTGTATTTACCCTTGTTTGAGATGAAAACATATGATATCATTATTGCTGTGGTACTTTGATATGTTTTAATATTCTGGACAGCTTTGTCTTAATTGACCATATATGATTGACTTGTGAGATCATAGCACTCCATATTCCTCATCATATTAAACTACTAATCATTATCGTATGAACATTGACATAATTTACATTCCTGAATGAGAATTGCAATACAAAACATATCATAAAATATTAAAAACAAAATAAATTTATTCTTTGATTTTGTTTGATTTGTTCTTGTTTCATGTTTTGTCCCCACTATCATAGAGTTTAATCTGAGTGGACACATACATGATCAGTCATTTGGGTGACATTTTGTTACAGTCACATAGTCATTTATTATGTTTTGGTATAGTTACATGGTCAGTCACTTGGATGACTCAGTCTTTTGATGGTGTTTTTGTATAGTCACATAGTTATTTGATAATGTTTAGATATAGTCACAAGGTCAGTCATTTTGATGATGTTTTGGTATAATCACATGGTCAGTCAATTAGATGATGTATTGGTAGTCACATGGTCAGTCATTTAGATGACATTTTGGTATAGTAACATGTTTGGTCATTTGGAGGACTTTTTGGTATAGTCACAAGGTCAGTCATTTAGATGAGATTTTGTTATATTGTCATTGTCATTCATTTGGATGACATTTTGGTATAGTCACATTGTCATTCATGTGAAAGGAGTTTTGGTATAGTCACATTATCAATCATTTGAATGGAGTTTTGGTAGAGTCACATTATCAATCATTTGAATGGAGTTTTGGTATAGTCACATGGTCAGTCATTTGGATGGCATTTTGGTATAGTCACATGGTCATTCATTTGGATGACATTTTGTTATAGTCATGTTGTCATTCATTTGGATGACATTTTGGTATAGTCACATTGTCATTCATGTACATGGTGTTTTGTTATAGTCACATGGTCAGTCATTTGGATGACATTCTGGTATAGTCACATTGTCATTCATTTGAATGGAGTTTTGGTATAGTCACATGGTCAGTCATTTGGATGGCATTTTGGTATAGTCACATTGTCATTCATTTGAATTGAGTTTTGGTATAGTCACATTATCAATCATTTGAATGGAGTTTTGGTATAGTCACATGGTCAGTCATTTGGATGACATTTTGGTATAGTCACATTGTCATTCATTTGAATGGAGTTTTGGTATAGTCACATTATCAATACATGGTCAGTCATTTGGATGACATTTTGGTATAGTCACATTGTCATTCATGTACATGGTGTTTTGTTATAGTCACATGGTCAGTCATTTGGATGACATTCTGGTATAGTCACATTGTCATTCATTTGAATGGAGTTTTGGTATAGTCACATGGTCAGTCATTTGGATGACATTTTGGTATAGTCACATTGTCATTCATTTGAATGGAGTTTTGGTATAGTCACATTATCAATCATTTGAATGGAGTTTTGGTATAGTCACATGGTCAGTCATTTGGATGGCATTTTGGTATAGTCACATGGTCATTCATTTGGATGACATTTTGTTATAGTCATGTTGTCATTCATTTGGATGACATTTTGGTATAGTCACATTGTCATTCATGTACATGGTGTTTTGTTATAGTCACATGGTCAGTCATTTGGATGACATTCTGGTATAGTCACATTGTCATTCATTTGAATGGAGTTTTGGTATAGTCACATGGTCAGTCATTTGGATGACATTTTGGTATAGTCACATTGTCATTCATTTGAATTGAGTTTTGGTATAGTCACATTATCAATCATTTGAATGGAGTTTTGGTATAGTCACATGGTCAGTCATTTGGATGACATTTTGGTATAGTCACATTGTCATTCATTTGAATGGAGTTTTAGTATAGTCACATTATCAATACATGGTCAGTCATTTGGATGACATTTTGGTATAGTCACATTGTCATTCATGTACATGGTGTTTTGTTATAGTCACATGGTCAGTCATTTGGATGACATTCTGGTATAGTCACATTGTCATTCATTTGAATGGAGTTTTGGTATAGTCACATGGTCAGTCATTTGGATGACATTTTGGTATAGTCACATTGTCATTCATTTGAATGGAGTTTTGGTATAGTCACATTATCAATCATTTGAATGGAGTTTTGGTATAGTCACATGGTCAGTCATTTGGATGGCATTTTGGTATAGTCACATGGTCATTCATTTGGATGACATTTTGTTATAGTCATGTTGTCATTCATTTGGATGACATTTTGGTATAGTCACATTGTCATTCATGTACATGGTGTTTTGTTATAGTCACATGGTCAGTCATTTGGATGACATTCTGGTATAGTCACATTGTCATTCATTTGAATGGAGTTTTGGTATAGTCACATGGTCAGTCATTTGGATGACATTTTGGTATAGTCACATTGTCATTCATTTGAATGGAGTTTTGGTATAGTCACATTATCAATCATTTGAATGGAGTTTTGGTATAGTCACATGGTCAGTCATTTGGATGACATTTTGGTATAGTCACATTGTCATTCATTTGAATGGAGTTTTGGTATAGTCACATTATCAATCATTTGAATGGAGTTTTGGTATAGTCACATGGTCAGTCATTTGAATGGAGTTTTGGTTTAATCACATTGTCATTCATTTGAATGGAGTTTTGGTAGAGTCACATTGTCATTCATTTGAATGGAGTTTTGGTATAGTCACATTGTCATTCATTTGAATGGAGTTTTGGTATAGTCACATGGTCAGTCATTTGGATGGAGTTTTGGTATAGTCACATGGTCGGTCATTTGGATGGCATTTTGGTATAGTCACATGGTCATTCATTTGGATGACATTTTGTTATAGTCACGTTGTCATTCATTTGGATGACATTTTGGTATAGTCACATTGTCATTCATTTGAATGGAGTTTTGGTATAGTCACATTATCAATCATTTGAATGGAGTTTTGGTATAGTCACATGGTCAGTCATTTGGATGACATTTTGGTATAGTCACATTGTCATTCATTTGAATGGAGTTTTGGTATAGTCACATTATCAATCATTTGAATGGAGTTTTGGTATAGTCACATGGTCAGTCATTTGAATGGAGTTTTGGTTTAATCACATTGTCATTCATTTGAATGGAGTTTTGGTAGAGTCACATTGTCATTCATTTGAATGGAGTTTTGGTATAGTCACATTGTCATTCATTTGAATGGAGTTTTGGTATAGTCACATGGTCAGTCATTTGGATGGAGTTTTGGTATAGTCACATGGTCGGTCATTTGGATGGCATTTTGGTATAGTCACATGGTCATTCATTTGGATGACATTTTGTTATAGTCACGTTGTCATTCATTTGGATGACATTTTGGTATAGTCACATTGTCATTAATGTACATGGTGTTTTGTTATAGTCACATGGTCAGTCATTTGGATGACATTCTGGTATAGTCACATTGTCATTCATTTGAATGGAGTTTTGGTATAGTCACATGGTCAGTCATTTGGATGACATTTTGGTATAGTCACATTGTCATTCATTTGAATGGAGTTTTGGTATAGTCACATGGTCATTCATTTGAATGGAGTTTTGGTATAGTCACATGGTCAGTCATTTGAATGGAGTTTTGGTATAGTCACATGGTCAGTCATTTGGATGACATTTTGGTATAGTCACATTGTCATTCATTTGAATGGAGTTTTGGTATAGTCACATTGTCATTCATTTGAATGGAGTTTTGGTATAGTCACATGGTTAGTCATTTTGATGATATTTTGGAATAGACACATTGTCATTCATTTGAATTGAGTTTTGGTATAGTCACATTATCAATCATTTGGATGACATTTTGGTATAGTCACATGGTCATTCATTTGGATGACATTTTGGTATAGTCACATTG